CTTTAAAAGTTAATGAGTATTTATTATGGTGCCAGTGACTGAACTCAGAACCTTGAAGATTCAAGACACTTACTCATCACCAAGCCACATTCCTGGCCTAAATTTTTTTTAAATCTGTTGCAGACTTAAGGTGGTATATGAGAAGATAGTTCTTACATACCTCACACCCCCTGTCCTCTATTATGAACATCTCACAGGTGTATGAACTTTCTCAAAGCTCAGTGCTCAGGGTCTCTTGGCTGTGGACATGGAGACACAAAGCCAGGTGGAGAAAACCAACCCTAACCTCCTGCTGGCAATGCATATGCTCCAGCTGGCTCAGCTATCTCTCTGTGTTTTTCAAGTTTTCGGGGAAAAATACTCAATGGAATAAAAAGACAAAGGCATTGTTTCCTATCTTCTTACAAAAATAAACAGAAAGTGGACATCAAAACATGGAAGTCATGTAATTTCTCCCCCCAGGCCTTCAATTTGTATCTTCTTTTTCTAGCCTAAGTTACCGTAGATTTTTTCTATCCCAGTCATCTTACCCACCATCATAGAGCCATCATCTATAATAGCACTCTTAGATCATTGATATATTCAAGCCACATTATTTAACTTTTTCTAATAGAATCACTACCTTTTCTTTATAATATGGTTCAAATTTGTCCCTTTTCTTTTTTATCTCATCATTCCCATTGTGACCTCCACAGTGTGTTTCATCATTTCCCTTGTGACCTCCATAGAGTGTTCCTGTTTTAGTGCCACGCTCGGCTGTGTTCAGGGCCACCTGGTTGCACTCTGGGATCACTCCTAGTGGTGTTCAGGGGACCATATGGGGTTCCTTGAATCGAAGTTTGGTAGGGGATGTTGCATGCAAGGTAAGTAGTTTAGACTCTGTTCTTTCTAAATCCCTCCAAAATATTTTATTAATTTTTTGGTAAAGAAGATATTTTATTTAAATAATGTGGTTACAAAGTTGCTCATAATACAGGCTTTAGGGCTTTGGATGTCTGAACACCAATACCACCACCAAAGTGACCTTCCCTCCATCACTGTTCCCACTTATCCAACAGTTCTCCAAGCCTGCCCCCTTAGCAGGGCACACAGTCATTTATTTTATATTGCTTGTTGCAACTAACTGGTTAAAGGAATTATCAAAAATACTTCAGCAAAAGAAAATATATAAAAATTGTTACATCTCATGGGGGGGGGGAAATTAAGTCCTTTTCTAAAAACTTAGTAAACTGCTTGTTGCTAATTCTGCCTTCAGTGTTACTGCTTTTGTTAAGTTGTTAGTTGCCTTCTCTGCTACTTTCCCATGTAATTTGGTGTGCTCTTACCAGACTCTCAGTACTGGTGAATTTCGAGGTGTTCTGTGAGGTCCAGACTTTTTAGGATCTATAATCTGGGCCCATGAGTTGAAAAGACACAGTAGTTCTCAGTGTGACAGTGGGAGTGCCTGACATTTTTCGGATTTGGAGTCTTTGAGAGATTATTAGTGACCTCCATATTATTTTAATTGTTAGTTACATAAAAACAGGTGATTGATGCATTACTCTTCTCAGTTTGCTGTAACAAAACATTGCTGAAAAGTGGCTTAAAGCATACATTTATGTTGCAGTCCTTGAAGGCTTAGAAGTTCAAGAACAAAGAGGTCTTGCTGGCTCCTGGGTCCCAGGGCCAATGGCCTGACAATCTTGGCTTGCAGAAATCTATCTTTGGGCTAAATTTGTAAATAGGAGAGAGTTCCAGTTGTCTGGGTAACGAAACCCAGCTGAGAAGGCCCAAACCTAGGTTTGGGAAGTAAAACCGGTAGCTACTGGTATCAGGACAGCATCTCAGAGCGGTGGGGAGGAGGGTTTTCAATGAACGAACTGGGAATGGGGCCAGCTGGTGGCCTGGTCCAGGAACCGAGGCAGAAGATACTGCATTCTAAAGGACTTGTGCTCTGTGCGACCTCAAAAAGACTGGCCAGAGGATACCAGGGCCAAAGCTGCTGGACCTTTGATCAAGACAAGTGTGTTGCTGAAAACTGTGTTCTGGGAGAGTCAATCTGATCGTTGCTAACGGGCTGATTACTGAAATAAAGCGCAGGTAGAAAGCCTGTGTGCGGGAATAACGTGCCTAATGTGAAAATCAGGATAGGTATTGGCCCGGCTCATAGGCTCATACGCACCCTCACCCGAAAGCCGCTCCTCATCGTTCCTGCATACCCCGGTGCTCCTTGTATTTGAGGGCTGCTCTGCTAACCCTAGACACGCGCCTTGACAACATCGCATCGGTTTCCGCATTTTCCTCTCCCTTCCACTTGTTGGGATCGGGAGTTCCCTGGCCCTGGGAGGCGCGGAGAGACCAGATAGACACAATTCCTGCAGGAGTAAAAACGGGGTTTATTTAGACCAGCATGCTGGGGCTCCGCAGCATACCCCAAAAATGGGCAGTGGCTGAGAGCCCCGAACTTCTTCAAAGGGGATCTTATATAGGCCTTCACTGGCCGTTACAGCAAAGCCCGCGCATTTCATAGCCAATAGATTTGTAACAACATATACTTTCTTAACCAATCCATTTAAAAGTACCTCACTCCTTAGCCTATAGATTCAAAGATCAGCATTTACGTACATCGATTGTCAGCACAAGCAAGGTTATAGCTGGAATCATTAAGCCTTAGGTAATCTCCCTTGACCATCCTCGTTTTGTGTTACCCAAGTCTGCAGGGTGCTTTAGTGAGACAATACATTCCAGGAAAGGGCAATTTCCCCCAACCACCAGCATCCTGAGTTAGCCTTTACCCAAATCTGCAGGGTGCTTTACTGAGACAATACATTTCAGGGACAGTAAATACACCTGAATCTTGTAGAAAGAAGTTATGCCCTGTTCACTTTGCAAGTCCCCTCTCCCCCAGGTGCAAAGCAGCCAAGCAGTTTTACAGAAAGCAATGTTGCAAGTTAGCTAAAGTACACAAAAATTTGATGCCCTAATATGGATTCTTTCATTCCCCACTTCTTTTCATGAGCATCTCTAATCCTAGAGATCGTGGGGGGGTCGGGGCCTAATTCAAGGACCCGTGGTTAAGAGTAGCTTCCCTCAGTGGGTAGAGTCCGGTATTGTTGCCCCGAATTAGGAGGATCTTCAAGACTCAAACCAATTCTCCCAGGCTTCTCCGACGTCGTTCAAGGCCTTCCGGTAGCTTGGCTATAGAGTCTCTGACAACCTCAGTGTGGTCTGCGTAGAAACAGCATCCCTCCACCAGATCAGAGCAAAGCCCTCTGTTCTTGAGGAACAACAGGTCGAAGGTCGAGTCCTCTCAGGTTTTGGGAGACTATCTCGAACAGGGATGTGAGAGATTTCTCGATGAGGTCTTAAAAAGAGTTAAAGCAACAGAAACCAAAGCAACATAATGCCATACCCATCTCTATCATTAAAACAATGAAAAGGATTAACTCTACAAACAGGTTTGGTTGATAATATAACTTCCTGTGTTCAGATTTTTCTAATGGTCACAGAAACACCAAGCCATTCTCTGGCTTTCTCAGTACAGACTGGAAAAGCTTCTGCCCATATACTGAAGCTATCAATGAGAACCAACATATATTTATACCTTGAACATATGAACATTTGATCATTTGTATAAGGTCAAGCTGCCGATTCACCTCTAAGTTCCTTGATGCTGAACAGGTGTTAGGAGAGGAGGCTCAGGATTTCCACTAGGTTCATTAATGGCACAGAAAGCACAGTTCTGAATTACTTCTATCTTACTTGCTGTTCAGTTCCTCCCCATGGAAGATGGTTCTCACTAGTGTTAAAACATAACCCTTTAATAATATTCCATTGCATTGGTTCAGGAGTTGTTAATCCCATGATGCAACAGAAATTAAGAGCTGATAATATTCTTGTTCTCTCCAAATGACTGTTCACAGAAAATGAGATGCAATAAAGTATAGAAAGAAAATTCACAGTATTTTAGAACTAGATATTAATCTACTCTAATTTAACCAGTTTAGATGCCTTTCTCGACACTTTGGCCAATTCAGACCGGGGGAAAGCAATTCTGCAATTCCCCCGGGGAGACAAGGGGCACCGCCACGTGGAAGGAGGCGCGCTCTTCCCCGCAAGAAACGCGGACACGTTCTGCGCCGCCTTCCAAGGGCCCTGGCCGGTCTTGCGTGCCCAGCGACCGGAACGGTGACCGCCACCCCGGCGACCCAGGAAAGGGGAATCTTCCGAGACTCGGTCACTGGCGTCCCAGGACCGCACTGATCGCCGTCAGCGCGCCGGTGCCCACACGAGGGAATGGTTTTCCGATGCATTCTGAACGGCCAGGGTGCAGACACATCCCGGTCCAGCCCCTGCTCGTGATGTTACAGAGGTTGGGAGCGCTTCCTAGGGCATTTCCCCACTGCATATCCTCTTCTTCTTCTTCTTCTTTTTTTTTTTTTTTTTTGCTTTTTGGGTCACACCCAGCGATGCACAGGTGGGGTTACTCCTGGCTTTGCACTCAGGAATTACTCCGGGCGGTGCTCAGGGGAAGCTGGGATTTGAACCCAGGTCGGCCGTCTGCAAGGCAAACGCCCTACCCAGCTGTGCTATCTCTCCAGCCCCCTCTTCTTTTTTGTAGAACATAAACAAATATTGAGGTTCAGCAGCCACCCATAACCGATCGTGTTAGCGCCGCGGCCATACTCGAAGCAGAAGAGAAAAAGGATCACGCCTGCGATATTTTGGTTGGTCGGTTTGGTTGGTTGGTTGGTTTCTCGGTCCGGATCTGCATTCGAAGGTGCAGGCGCTGGAACGGCCCCGCCCCCTGTCCCATGGTTCCCCGCGCGGCGGGCTCGCGCTCGACGGCAGCGGCGCGCGACCGAGCTCTCGCGAGAGCGCTCCGCCCATTGCGGCCTGGTCCCGGCCGCACTCGAGGCTCCAAGTTCCCGCTCGCCGCGGCGCCGGGCGACCGCGATGCAGCCGGGGCCGCCTCGGCTGTGAAGCCCGAGGCACGTCCCGACGCCGGATCTCTGCTCGCCGACGCGCTGCGCCCGGGCGGCCATGGCCACGGGCTTCTCCTTCGGCACCAGCACTCTGGGCTCCGGCACGGTGGCCGCCGGCGGGAGCGCTCCCGGCGGCGGTTTCTCGTTCGGAACCGGCGCATCCAGGTAACTCCTAACCGTGCGGTAGCCCGGGCCCAGGCTCCGTCCCGTGGCCCCCGCGGCCCGCGGCGGGGGTGGGCGGGCGGGGGCGCCCCGCGTTCGGCCCCGAGCCTGCTTCGCGCCAGTGCGGAGATCGCCGACGAGATGGCGCGGTTTCGGCGTCCCGGGGCGCGGGGCCGCGGGGAGTTAGTGTTAGTTAGGGGCCGCCCACACCTGGCCTGCTCGGACGTCGCCCCGGGGGCCTGGGGAATCCCACCAGGGCCGGCTGCGTGCGGGGCGGCTGTAATCGCATCTCACCAGCCTCCGAATAAGACGATTTGGAAAAGGGTAGTTGGAATTTTTCTCCCCAGGAAATCCAAGTTCTCTTGGTGGGCTGTGGCACGCTGTGTGGCGTTACAGGTGCTTTCACGATTTCAGGGCTGATTTTCAGCATCACCTGTCTTTGGCTTTTTATTTTTTTTGGGGGGGGGTTACACCTGGCAATGCACAGGCGTTACTCCTGGCTCTGCACTCAGGAATCACTCCTGGCGGTAGCTCAGGGGACCCTATGGGATGCTGGGAATCGAACCCGGGTCGGCCGCGTGCGAGGCAAAAGCTATCGCTCCAGCCCAGCATCATCTTTCTTTTGCTTTTTTTGGGTTACGCTCGGCGATGCTCAGGGGTTCCTCCGGGCTCTGCACTCAGGAATCACTCACTCCTGGCGGTGCTCGTGGAATCCTATGGCATGCTGGGAATCGAGCCCGGCTCGGCCGCGTGCAAGGCAAAAGCACCCTACCCGCTGTGCTGTATCGCTCCAGCCCCTCAGCATCATCTGTCAAGGCTTCGTACCTCGTGGAGCCCCCTATCTATTGGTTCTTAAGTTTTAAGCCCTCCCCTCCCCCCCCGCATTTTAATAAATATTTACCGTGGGTGACCGTATGCGCGGGCGGGAAGGTTTCGCGGGGACGGAGCGGGCCGCCGGGTCGTCCGTGCGACTCCGTCCCAGCGCCGTGTCGGGGGCGGCAGAAACAGGAGTGGGTCCGTGAAGGGGTGAGACGGTCCGGGGTCGCGGAAAGCCCTATGCTCGAGCCACCCTCTCCCGGAACGTGGGGAGTGGTCAGAAACAGTAGCCACACTAGCCGCATGCTCTGTCCTTGCCCCCTCCGTGCCCGGCCTGGGTCTGCTGCTTGATTCCCCCAAGTTCCCTTCCTGTTCCGGACCCTTTCCCTTTAATTATGAATAGCCCTACAAACGAAGACAAAAAACCAACAAAAGAAACCCAGATGACTTCCTTGATTTGTCAGGGAGGAAGAGAAAAGAAGCAGGCATCACTCTTTATCTTCATTTGATGGCTTCAAAATTTGCCAAAGGGATTTCTTGAAATACTTCTTGAATTCAGTCTCCTAATAGCTTTAATTGAGACCTCTGAGCTGCTCTTTTGTACTTGATAAAAGCCCAGGGGCACCATTAAAAGTTTACTTGTTTTGCTTCTGGGGGCACACCTGATGGGGTTCACTCCCGCCTCTGCACTCAGGAATCACTCCTGGTGGTGCTTGGGGCACTGACCCTAGGTCAGGCACTTATGCAGAGCTGGTTAGCCCCTTGCCCGCAGTACTATGTACTATCGCTCTGGCCCAAGAACACAAGTGTTTTAAAGGAAATTGAAAAAATTAGTGGCCACAAATCAATCAGCTAATCAGTGGCTAAATAAATAGCAGTACTCCTACATTGAAAAAAAATTAGTGGCCAGTTAAGTGGTCAGTTGGGACCAGGGATGCATCTCGAATGTTGGAACACATGCCTTTTATGTGAGGCTCCTGGTTTGATCCCCAGAAGTTACACCTCAGCTACAGCTCTTTTCAACAGTTAGCTGGCATAATAGTGCCTTGCTTTTACTGTGTTCTGTTGAATTTCTCAGCATTGCTGATAGTAATATTAAAGTAACACACACTGTCCACTGTCCTCTCTTTGCTCATCGATTTGTTGGAGCGGGCGCCAGTAACTTCTGCATTATGAGACTTCTTGTTACTGTTTTTGGCATATTGAGTACGCCAAGGGGAGCTTGTCAGGCTCTGACTTTTTGGGTCACACCTGGCTATACTCTTGGTAGCTTGCAGGGCTCTCCAAGAGGGACGGAGGAATCAAACCCGGGTTGCCCGCGTGCAAGGCAGATGCCCTACCCTCTGTGCTATTGCTCCAGCCCAGCAGCATTAAAGAGTGAAATTAATTTACTACCTGCAATCTCTTCATCTTAACCTGAAATTCTTTTTATTAGATATCCTATTCCCATTTTGTAGGTGAAGCAGTAGAGGCTCAAAATGGGTAACAGCACCTCGGGGAACAAGTACTGGAACCCAACCATAGCACTGCTGCCTTTCCTTTAAATTCAAAAGTGCTCAGGCAGCTAAACTTTCTGAGTACAGATTCTGGGATGGAAGGGCAGGGACAAAAGTCGTAAAGATACAAAGGGATGAAATAGATTTTTTGTGTTGTGCATGTTAAAAATCTCCATAGCAATTTTTTTTTTTCACTTTTTGGGTCACACCTGGCGATGCACAGGGGTTACTCTTGGTGGAGCTCAGGGGACCATGTGGATGCTGGGAATTGAGCCTGAGTTGGCTGCATGTAAGGAAAACACCCTACCTGCTACACTATTGCTACAGCCCCTTTCTTTAGCATAATTTTTATTTCCAGTTTTTCCCTTACTGGACATAACAAATTTGAGTCTCTTGAGGCTTGAAAACTCAAAAAGTTGTTAACTTATAACCTTTTTAAGCTAAGCTGCCAGGAGTAATCCGTGAGCCCAGAGCCATGAGTGAGCCATCAGTACCCTGCGTGTCGTCCAAGCCAAAATAATCAAACAACAGCAGCAAAATACCCTGAAGAGCAATTTCCGCTGATGAACACTTCAAAAAATACTTGAGGTTTATTTGGGTGTACACCTGGCAATGCTTAGAGGACTTACTTCTCTCTGCTCAGTGCTTGGAGGTCCTTGTGGTACCAGGATTGGGCCTTGGGGCCTGAACACAATCTTTTTTTTTTCTGGCCAGCTTGACTTGGACCTATGACTGGCTCTTAGCTCAGGATCTTGTACCAGGAATTGAACCGGAGCCTCATACAAAATTTGAGCTCAGCCAGTTAAGCTGTTCCTGAGCGCATAATCTTGGTAGGGAGTAATTTTGATTTTCATTTCACTTATGCAAGGTATTTTTGTTCCAGTTCTTCTCCCCCACCCCAGTCTTCTTATTACTTTTGATGGCAGGTTACCTAGCTACATCCACTAAACTTGACAATATAGCAATAGAGTTGGTGAAGACAACATAGAATATCCTTTCAATTTTTAGGCTTTCTTACATTTGTTGTTGAGAGGAACAAATGAATCCTGATGTGAGAACTACACATATCAGTAGTTCAAAGGGAGAGTATCTACATTCCTAGGATTTGTTTCCATTTAATTAATTTATTTATTTTTGGCTTTTTGGGTCACACCTGGTGATGCACAGGGGTTACTCCTGGCTCTGCACTCAGGAATTACCCCTGGTGGTGCTCAGGGGACCATATGGGATGCTGGGAATCGAACCCGGGTTGGCTGCGTGCAAGGCAAACACCCTACCCGCTGTGCTGTTGCTCCAGCCCCGTCTTTGTTTCCATTTTAAAATGAGCACTTTTCAAACAAACTAGGGAAAGTAGAATATGTAGGACATTTTCCTGTGATGTTCATGATTACCTGGAATCTGAAATCCTAATTGCTGGTAGATTATTCCCTTCTTGAAGATTGGTGTTTTGTTGGTCTTTTTGTTTTGGGGGCTGTACCCAGCGATGCTTAGGCTATACCCTGGCTCTGTACTCAGGAATCACTCCTGGCGGTGCTTGGGGGATCAGATGAGATGGCTGAGGATTGAACCTAGGTCAGCCATGTGTAAGGCAAACACCTTACCCACTGTAGCATGGCTCAGGGTGGACTGGTACTTTATTTTTTAAGGCTAGTTTTATGTGTTGGTTTATCAAATATTTGAACTTAAAGATATCCTATGGTGATATATTTGACAAATTAAATAAAAGAATATAACTGGGTAGAGTAGTTTTTATTGTTCTTAAGTGACTGGGCTTTAGTAGACTTAGATTTTCTTTGTGTGTTTTGTTTTCATAAACAAGCACCCCTTCTGTGGGGCTCAACTTCGGAAATCTTGGGAGTTCAGCCACTCCAGCAACTACATCTGCAACTTCAGGGTTTGGAAATGTGCTCTTTGGATCTAAGCCTACCACTGGGTTCACTCTTGGAACAAATACAGGTAAGGAGAATTGCCACATATGTAGGGAAGAGTTTTGGGGTAGTTACTCTTTGCAGGTTCTGTTCTATATCTCTTTTTTTTTTTATAAAGGTCTTGGTGGTTGACCTACATGTGATAAATGCTAAGAAGGCAAGAATCATAGGGGTGTAGTGCTTAACTAAAGACCAGTGATAGGTCTAGACATTGGCTCTAAGAATTTGTGAGAGACTCACAAATGAATCTCACAAATGAATCTTGGAAAGACAGCAGCATGCCACAGAAATGTCTCTGGACCCAATTATTTAAAGTTTTGGACATCCTATACTATTGATAACAAGCACTGTAGCACAGCACTGCACTACACTGTCCTCCCGTTATTCAACGATTTGCTCTAGCGGGCCCAGTAACGTCTCCATTGTGAGCCTTGTTGTAAATGTGTTTGGCATATCGAATGCATCACAGGTAGCTTGCCAGGCTTTGCCAGGCGAGATACTCTCAGTAACTTGCAGGCTCTCCTAGAGGGGCGGAGGAATTGGACCCGCATTGGCCAGGTTGGTTGCAAGGCAAATGCCCTACCTGCTGTGCTATTGCTCCAGCCCATAATAAGCCACACAAAATAAATTATTTAGCATTTTCCTGTGGGGCAGGTTTGAGTGGTGGTGAGAAAATTTGACATGATGGTGGAGGGAAGGTGTATTGGTGGTGGGATTGGTGTTGAAATATTAAATGTAACCAATTACTGTGAACAACTTTATGGACATAAAATTGAAAAAATAAAATACTTGCATGTAAGGAAGGAAAACGTATATACTCATTTCGAGCATTAGAGAACATCTATTTTTAAATATGAGTTAATGTAATCAAAATTTTAATATTAGATTGTGTAATTTAGTGTTTTACCTTAGTGTGGATTCAGTCAAGTTTACCAATTTGGATATTAACATGGGAAACAGCATCCTGTTGTACTATAACATAATTTAGGAGACTTGGGGTAGTTTGGGGGGTTTTCTTTGGATTAAAACCGATTTTAGCTATGGACACGGTAAGATGTGATGTTTTTCTAGCGTTGTATATATGAGTATATCTATGTATTTCTAAAATTTAAAAATGTATATGTATATCCACTCACATATATTAAAAAAATTGTTTTGTTTGTGAATCATACCAGGCTGTGCTCAGGGCTCACTCCTAGCTTTGCGCTGAGGCATCACACCTGGCATGTTCTGGTTGCCGGCTGTGTAACCAGGTTGGCTATATGCAAAATAAGTACCCTGCATGCTGTACCATCTCTCCAGCCCCTGTAGTATATATTTTAATAATTTAAAAAGATTGTTTTTACTTGGTATTTTGTTCTAAGCTAGGTGAGTTACACTGGAGTTTGCCTTATTTTTCCTGTATTCTCTTTGGTCTGTGTTCTGGCCTTTTGCCTTGACTTGTTAGCTTGGAATGGAACACCATTCACAGCCAAACAAGGAAAAAGAACTGTGGACCAGCCAGATAGCATCTTGAATCACTTCTGCATTTTGCTGCTTTTCTTCTTTCTTGTATCAGTTATAGTGATTTGAACACACAAATATTTCCCCTATTCAAGTTTTGTGCATCTTACGCTATAAAAATCAGTGCTTAAGGAACAGTGTATTAGTAGTTGTGGTGAAAGAAACTTAAGGTACACATTTGTCTTAATTATAGTGTTAACTCTTCCTAAGGGTAAGTTCAGTCTTCTGCCCCTAAGATGTAAAAGAACCCCACATTACATTCATGACTGAATGTTCTTTCTCTTTTTTTCTCTAGGAATAGCAACAACTATATCTACAGGATTAACACTGGGTAAGAATTTTTGAGGAAAGATTTCCCAGATACATACTTTCTACTCTTCTCTGTCTCAGTGACTTACAGAGCTAAGAAATGGAAGAACACACTTAAGGAAATTGAATTTAGAGCAGATACAGCCTTAGCAAAGAGTTTTCCTTTCCTTTTTTTTTAAATGACTGTATACTGTTTTTGATTCAGAAAAAATTAAATACGGAATCAGTGTTTTCAGTCATTTGATTCTTGGAACAAAGGCGCCAACCTGGGGGCCAGAAGGCTTGGGGTGAGCCCTGGTTCTTTTCTAAAGAGTTACAATACGAGCCCTTTGAAAATCAAGGAACATCGGCATCTATAAAAAGATCTTAAGGTGTTTTTTGGTTTGGTTTGGGCCACAGGATAGTGCTGGCATCTGGTTAGGGGGTCCACTGCTGACAGTGATTGGTGCACCATGCATGGTAGCAATCAAACCTGGCGCTCCCTCATGCTCAGTATGTGTCCCAGCCATTTGAGCATCTCCCTGACATGAACAGAAAGGTTTTTTGGGTTCCCTTTTATCATGTGAATAACTCAGATTACATCTTGAGTCTTGATGACAGTAAATGATGTGAAAGGAAGTGAACAGTAGAAAACAAGGAAGCTTAATGGGAGCTAATGTGGATTTAAGTTTAAAATTAAAGGTTGAACTCACCTTCAGTTGGAAGTTAGTTGCTTGTTATCAATAGAGATAAGGTCTATTTACAGTGAAACTTTTGGATAGGCTTGGTTACAAGGATAAGCAGTTAAATCTTGTTTTTTTTTATTATTATTACGTGACTTCAAAATACACTATATTTTGGCACAACTTCCAGTTGTGGTAAGGATAATCCACACATAATTTGTGGCTTCTTTTCTCTGCTGGCTACTTTCAGGAGAAACCAAATGCAAGTCCTCCATAAGTTTCTTTGTTCATGGTTTTTCAGTAGCTATTCCTGGCTCCATGACTTTCTGTAGTATTTTTCTAATATATAAACTTGACCTTCACTGTTGTTGGTGTGGCTCTGTGCTGGTGGTAGGGTAGTTCTGGTATCATGTGCTGCTCTGTGCAGGAGCAAGGCAAGGTTCTGCCTCTTGTGAGGGAAGAGGCTTGCTGAACTGCTTTCATGGTCCTGTGTGATCTGCAGGTATCAGAAAGGTACCAAGGAATGCAGGCGAAGAAGGGAGTAGTTTATTCTGGAGGATGAAAACATTCCAAACAGGATATTTGTTTAATTTGATGTGGGAGCTAACCCAGCAGCGCTTTGGGGATCATGCATTGCCAAGGATCAAACCCCAGGTTGAATTCAGCATGCAAAGCTTGCACACTGGCCCTTTGAGCTAGCTCCCTGGCCCAAATGTTTTGAATCTAATGGTAGGACTGAAATTGGGGTTCAATATCAGCTTGGGTTCTTTAAGTTTTCTTAACTCATTGGTTCATCATTTCAGTAGTTGCCATGAGTTGCTCCCAGCTTTTTCTCTTCTTTTATATCCTTGGTCTGTCTGTATATGCAAGTAAAATCACAAACTTAAAGGGATCTTGACCGAAATCTGTATAATGTATACAGTTAGAATAAATGGGGTTTTTGTTTGTTTTTAAACAGGAACTCCAGCCACAACATCTGCCTCTCTGACAGGTTTCAGTTTAGGTTTTAACAAGCCTTCAGCATCTGCAACACCATTTACTCTCCCTATTACTTCTACCTCAGCTGGCAGTCTTAGTCTTTCGTCTTCTCTAACATCTACTCCAGGTAAAGTAGAATGGAGGGGGAAATCACATTAAAATGATAATTTGTTTGGTTAATGAACATAGGTACCCACTTATGTTTTATTTTCTATAATATTTTTCTAATATATAAACTTGTCAGTATATAAATTTAATATAATTTCTGTTTGGGAAATGTAGTGATACAGAGATTTAGAACTACTGATATAGATAACATTGGGCATTGAAGAAAAGTTGAGTCAAGAGGAGAAATGAAATGTAAAGCTGTTTTATACCTGTACCTATTTTATTTTTATTGATGTATTTTACTTTTTGGGTTACACCTGGGGTTTAGTCCTGGCTCTGCACTCGAATTATTTCTAGCAGTTCTCTGACCACATGGGATGCCAGGAAATTGACCCTGGGTTGACTGTGTGCAAGGCAAATGCTCTACCCACTGTACTGTTGCACCGTCCCCTCTTCTTTATTTATTTTTCATTTTGGGTCACACCGGTGATGTACAGGCTTTGCTCTCAGGAATTACTTCTTGCGGTGCTTGGGGGACCATATGGGGATGCTGGGAATTGAACCCAGGTTGGCTGCGTTCAAGGCAAACGCCCTGCCTGCTGTGCTATTCCAGCCACCTCTTCTTTATTTTTAATGAACATTTTTGTTTTCTGATTGTTTTGATGATCGGGATTTGCTCCTGTTAGTGTGAATCTAACCATGCAGTGTCTGGGATTGAATCCATTCCTGCAGGTGTGCAGAGTATATACACCAGCTCTTTGGGCTATCTCTTAGCCCTTCATGAAACATTTTTGCAGTAAAGGATAAAGAATTTGTATAAATCTAAATATCTTAGTATGCATCTAATTTTGAAGGTAGAGTTACTGATTGAGGTTGAAAACTTTATTACTATTTGGAATCTGTTACCACTTCAGTATTACCATTTCAGTATTACCCAAAGTGTGTTTCTAGTACTGGGTTTTGTTCCTTAAGAATATATAATTTTATCTTTGGTGGTTTTTACTGCAGTTAGTATTTTTCTACAGATATGTTTTGTTTGCTATCTTTTATTGAGGTTACTGTGATTTATAACAGCATTAATAATGTTTTGGCCCTTACCTACTGCTGGGGTGCCAGTATCTTTACCAGTGCCCTGGGGCATTATTTTGAAGTGTTTTCTATAGTGTTGTTTGAGTGATAATTCCTGGGAAGCTTTACAGTGTCATTTTTTAGCATCCACAGGATTTACTCTAAATAATTTGGGTGGACCAGCGGCTACCACTACAACTGCATCCACAGGCCTTTCTTTAGGGGTGGCCTTACCTGGTCTGGGAAGTTCACTTTTCCAGAATACAAATGCAGCAACATCAGGTATGATATAAATAATATACTCTATTTAAATTTATTTTCATTTTTATCTTCTAAGATCATGTTTTTCTTTTTAACTTGTATGTCCTTTTAGTGAATTATAAAATGTTTTGCATATACCATTGAATTTTTTAGACATGCTTTGCAACAAAATTTTCTGTTTCTCAGTATTAATAGACAAAATAAGGATAACAGGTTCCTGCTTTAGGGCATTAAACTACTATAGCCTTACCTGTGAAATAAACACCTGTTTGAATAGTCAGGGATGAGTGTTCTAAAGTCATCATAAGGTAATTTAACCAAATCTTCGTTGTAGGAATGGTATTTTATTCTAGATACCAGGAAAGCATATAGTGTGCTCTGAAGACCTTTAAAACAGAAATGTTAAATAAATATAATGACAAACTATTACAGTGTCAACCTGCAGGAAGCACTGAATTAATATTTTATATGTTGATTTGATTTCTCAATTCATGCATGTTTTGATGTTAGCCTCAAATTAAGGATTCTATACTTTTTTTTTTTTAAAGAAATTTGTTTAAGGGAGGGTTGGTGGTGCTCAGGAGCTGTTCCTGGCCCTATGCTTAGAAGTGAGTCCTGGCAGTGCTCAGAAGTGGTGCTGAGAATTTGAGCTAGGCTCACACCCCATGCAAGGAAAGTACCTTACTTCATGTGCTATCTCTTTGGCCCTTTATGTGTTTTTCATATTTGATGTTATTAATGTTGATAGAGAAAGCCAGGGGAGTCTTTGTGAAAGAGAAAAATTTTCCGCTTATTTGAAGAAACTGTATAATTATCTGCTATAGCATTGTAACAGGAGCGATAGCACAGCAGTAGGTTATTTGCCTTGCGCACAGCCAGCCTGGCCGAGCCAGGTTCGATTCCTCCGCCCCTCTTGGAGAGCCTGGCAAGCTACCAAGAGTATTCAATATGCCAAACACAGTAACAAGAAGTCTCACAATGGAGACGTTACTGGGCCCGCTCGAGCAAATCAATGAAGAACAGGAGGACAGTGACAGCATTGTAACATCAAGAATTTTTATTTTATGGGGCTGAAACGATAGCACAGCGGGTAGGGCCTTAGCCTTGCATGCGGCCGACCTGGGTTTGATTCCCAGCATCCCATATGGTCACCCCGAGCACTGCCAGGAATAATTCCTGAGTGCATGAGCCAGGTGTAACCTCTGTGCATCCCTGGGGGTGACCCAAAAAGCCAAAAATAAATAAATAAATGAATGAAAAGGGATTTCTATTTTAATCCTTTCTAGATTAGGAAAAGTTGACACATAATGGAAATCAAAAGGATTTCCAGTTATTCTTAGATTAATTTATTGTGGCTGTTTAACTTCAAAAGTCTCACAGAGCACCAAATAGTGTGTCTAATGCTTTACTTGGTTATGTGGGAGATATGAAGGAGCATGATGTTTTCTTTTAAGGAAGCTGTCATTTTATTTTTACATTAAAAGATTGAGATATGACTACATTTAGATATTAAATGGACAATGTCCAATTCAGTGGAAACGGATAAAAGTTGCTTGAGATAGACTCAAATGCATGGTGTCCAAATTTGCATTATCTTTAAAAACTTTATCTTTCTATCATCTGTAATTTTCTAAGATACTCAGAATGTCTACTAATAACATTATGAGATGGATATAACACATGGAAATCACAGAAAGGGAAAGATTTTGATTTTGTGCCAGACCTGGGGCTGCTCCCAACTAGGTATTGGGTGAGGGTGGGTCATTCCCGTCCTGCTTGGGAACCGTGTTTTGCAGGAATTTGACCTGGGTCTCCAGCATGCAAAGCACATGCTCCAGCCCTCTGAGCTAGGCCCTGGTCCCGTAATATTATTTGTTTTATATTATGCCAAATCTTATAAATCCGTGGTAGATTATTACACTTAATGTCTCCCAGCTCTGTGAGGTAAATTGACATAAGCTTGTAAGTTCTTTGTGTGCAACGTCTTACATGTACATTATAAAAGGATTCCTCCCATCAAGTTGATAATGCATCTAACGTTAGTTATTTTTAAAATAGAGAATTCCAAAGCATGATTAAAAGGGGGAGAGCTTTTACCTGAAATTAGACAAATTAAAGCAGCTTTTGGAGTGAATGTTTAAAAATAAAACTTTGTCTTGTTTATATTAACTTAGCAGTGGCAGTCTGTCTCTCTTCAAATACCATGAAACCCAAGATTGCCATTCTTTGTCCACAGTATGCTGTATGTTTGTTTGCATGTTTGCCTGAAACAGATTAGAAAATCTGGGGTTGAACTGAAAGTATTTGGATGCTTTGGCAGTAAGTGGAAATTATTAAGAAGGCTTTTGTTGAACTTTGCACATGGTGTTTGGATTATTTTAGGACTTGAACAGAATGCATTAGGATTGACTTTGGGAACTACAGCAGCTACTTCATCTGCGGGCAATGAAGGCCTTGGTGGCATAGATTTTAGTAGCTCATCAGATAAAAAGAGTAAGTACTGTTACTACAGTTTCATGTGCTCTAACAGTTCTATTAAGGTAACTTAAATTTCTTGTGTCTGTAACATCTTCAGTTGTATATTCAAGTAAAGTCTTGACTTCTTTTGTTGAACATGTTGATGCCAACACATACCACTGGTGGCTCACATAAGCATGTTTTAAATAACACACATTGCAATGCCAGCATCAACACACATTGCAATGCCAGCATCATCAAATTTTATTTCACAAGTGTGTATTTTATTGTGTATATGTTAAATTTTTTGTGATGCCAGGGATTGAATCTTGGATCTCACCTATTTTGGAGATTTCTTCAGATTTGGAGAAATCTAGAGTTGCTCTAATAATTGAGCAACTATGTAGCATGCCTCTGTCACATCACCTCCCCTTATTTCCAGTACAGTACTTTCATATATCATGCCTTAGCTGGAGTTGCATGAAAGGAATATACAGAGTAATCATGTGTTACATCTCAGTTCCCTTTTATCTGTCACACATGTCAATGGAATCTTTTTGATGTTGAAAATTACTCTTTGTAGTGTATCATTTGATCTGGACTTACATGGTCAGAGGAATTTAGCTAGATGAGAAGTGGGAGGCAATAGCATTCTAAAGAAGGGCCGCATGGAGGAAGGCCTAAAAGTAACAGAATGATCTTAGCCTTATTGAAGAAGTGCTGGAAGGCCAGGCTAGCTGTAGAACAGAGAAATCAGATTCTTGAGATCAGAGGCCCTGAATATCACCGTTTATTATTAGACTGAGGACAGTTGGGATTTACAAAAGAATTTAGACCTGGATACAGTGACAGTATTAGATCAGGATTTTAAGATGAACATTCTGAGTGTTCTGACAACCAGCAGGAAAATTATTGTGCAAAAAGGGAAGAATAAGTGGAGATCTAATAGAATGCATTTTTAGTAGCCCATACCTTTTACTGAGTCCATTGGCAATCTAAAAACTGATTCATATTAACTTAGTTTGTGTATATATAATCTCATAAAATGTAGTGAAAATGGAAGATCAGAAAAATCAAGTAATCCTATAGTCACTAATCAAAATTGCAGGCCAGGAGTAATCCCTGAGCACTTTTGCTTGTGACCCTCAAAGTAAAATTGTCGTATCTGTAAAATAAACATTTTCCAATAATCTAGCAAAACCAGTATTCTGTACTGATAAAACCTTAAAAAAAAGTATTAAGTAAAGCTGTTAAGAGATAGTTGAGAAAGGGATGCTTCATCTTGAAATAAATAGATACAGGTTACCTGACTATTTTTGTAAATATGTCTCCACATTTATGTTAGGTTTGGAGTTCCTGACAGAGTGACATTGCATGGTATTTAAGAGGCAATCTAGGAATTGGGATTGTGGCTCCAAGGGAAAGTGCTTAGTTTTGATCGGTGAATTTGATCCCAGAACTGCAAGGAAAGTCAAAATGGTTGCTTAACCTTTTCTGTGATGCAACTTGTGTGTGGAATACATTGTTCAATGATCTATATTTACACGAAGCTTCTTAAATTTTTCAGGTGATAAAACGGGAGCAAGACCAGAGTAAGTTTATAATTTAACTTTTAAAATAATTAAATTTGAGTTTTTATTAAATTGTAGGCAAAGGGAATGGCAAATAGTAAATGAAACCATATAAACGTTTAGGGGAAATAAGTGTTTCTGTCTAATTAACACTATTAGATATTAATGGTTAAAATACTTCTGAGCTGTTCAAAGTCTGGTGAAAATAAAATTATATCAACATCCTCTGGAAAAAGGCCGATCTTCCAATTTCATCATTGCTGACATTATTTCTAGAAATTGGTTGATTTTCCCACACATGATACAATTTTTTTCACTTGCAGATTTTTACATTTACTAAGCATTAAACAGCTCGTGAAACTTTTGGGGCACCTTTGTGTGTGTGGGGGGGTGGAGAGATGATAGACCTACAGATAAAAATTATTATGCTGCAACATTGTTTCCTATTGATGACGGGAGAAGAGCTATCATACAGTCATCTGTAATTTGAAGATAATTATTTCAGTTAACAATTACATTTTCTGCCCTAATTTCTCACATTAAATAAAGTAATTATGCATAAATAATTAAGTGTACTTCTTAAGATTGTTGTCTATGTACTTTAGCCATGTTACACAAAAGGAGATACTGAGAGGGATTAGATTTGTCTAGGGTAATATCAAGAATGTAGTAGCAGATTGTCTGGACTAGAATCTGACTTGTGATTTAGTTACAGCATGGCAAGTTCCACTTCTGTCTTTATTAGACATTTATGACTTCTTGAGCCACTTATTTGGAGTCATTATGGAGAAACTATTTTTGTGACTGCTTTAATGTATTCCTGAGCTGTTAGAGAATTTCAGATTTTTTTTTAGTTTTTTAACTTTCTCATTGAATTACTGTGGGATAATCGACCATTACAAAGCAGTTCATGATTGGATTTCAGTCAGAGTATTCCAACACCCATTCCTTCATCAGTGCACGTTTCCCAGCACCAGTGTCCCCAGGTTCCCTCCTATCACCCCCAAACCCTCACCCCCTGACTGCCTCTATGGCAGGCGCTAGAATTTTTGAGCCAGGAAAATTTGCTTTTTTTTTTTAGCCAATCTATGGTATTCTCCAATTATTTTTTCTGTTAAAGCATTTAACATACTTAGAATAGATGCTAAGTCTTTTAGTAAAGTACTTCCAATAATGAAATGAATTGCTAGTTATTTTATAACTTAAGAAATGTGTCATTTGTGAAAATCTTTGAAGTCATCTAGGAAAACTATAAATGGGAAATTTTGCTTTCTTTTATCAATTATCTTCATAAAACTTTACTCTCAAGTAATTTTAGAAGTAATTTTAGTGATTTTAACGCATACAATGGGATTTTTCCTTAGGGATAGTAAAGCACTGAAGGATGAAAATCTACCTCCTCTTATCTGCCAGGATGTTGAAAATCTCCAGTAAGTATGTTACATTTAATTAAGTATATCATACTTGAAAAATGCTAGAGGACGTTTAGGGGGGAATATCTCTATTTCTTATTAAATATTTTATGCTTTTAGAAATTATAAAGCAGAACAATAGAAATTCAGATTTGGTGAAACATTTTAATTGTAGATGAATATTAAAGTGTTTGCTTCTGTAAGTATTTGGATTCTCACCAGTCTGCATAATTCTATCTATGGAAAGTAAGTGTATATTTTTTTTCTTTAATTTTTATTAAGATAACATGATTCACAAAAAGTTGTTTCAGGAATACAGTGTTCCAGCACCAGTTTCACCCCTAGTTTCCCTTTCTGTCCACCAATGTCCTCAGGTTCCTTCCCACCCTTGCCCAACCTTCCCCCTTGCATATAACAAATTTATTTTGTATTGCTTGCTCTGACTAAACTTACAGAAATGGCAGATGGAGTTATCAGAAAATCAATAGATGTCAGTTTGTGATGATTGATTGCTGTGATTTTGCCCAATATAAATAAGACATTAATTCACTATTGAAAATTCTTTAAATTCCTTAGCAAACTAGGAATAAACATGCTTTTCTTATCTTATTAGAGGGCAGGAACATGCGCTGTTATTCAGTAACATACTCAATGACATTGTTGAAAAGTTTCTCCAGTGTTGAGAAGCTCTTTCAACACTTCTGGCAAAACTTGTCTGTAAGGCTATGAATTCCCTGAGCTGTTGTTGCCTTCCCGTGAAGCTTTGTATCGTTCCTTCAAATCAGAATGATAATCTAGCTGGATAATGTATTCTTGGTGAGGTGTTGATTTCCTTGACTTTTTGTACTATAAACCTCCATTCTTTTGTGGTTTGATACATCTGCTATACATTTTTTGGACTTTCCTTTGTATGTTAGTTCCTTTTTTGATCATGAAGTATTCTGTCTGTATCTTCAAATTTTGTCATTTAGAGCACAATGTGTCTTTGAGTTTTCCTAGTTGAGTATTTTTGCTAGGACCTTTGGGCCTCTGAGATGGGTACCTGTAAACCTCAGTCCTTGGAAATTCTTACTGATGATTTATTTACTGGGGTTCCCTTGTCCATTTGGGTTTTTTGGTTTGTTTTGGGACCACATCTAGTGATGTTCAGAGTCTACTCCTGGCTCTACATTCAGGAATTACTACTGGCGGTGCTTGAGGACCATATGGGATGCTAGGGATAGAGCCTGAGTTAGCCTCATGCAAGGCAAGCACCCTATTGCTGAACTAGGCAAAATAAGACTTTTTTTTTTTTTTACATTAAACAGTCTTGTTTAATTTTTAGGAAATTCGTGAAGGAACAAAAACAAGTACAAGAAGAAATTAGTAGAATGTCTTCAAAAGCAATGCTTAAAGTACAAGAAGATATTAAAGCTCTGAAACAGCTTTTGTCATTGGCTGCCAGTGGATTACAGAGAAATACTCTCAATATTGACAAATTAAAAATAGAAACAGCTCAGGTAAACTCAACCATTTTTCTCTAGATTTATCTTCATCCCCCCAGTTTTGTGGCTCTGAAGATTTTTTTTAATGTGATTGAAATTATTTTTTTTTTCTGCTTTTTGGGTCACACCTGGCGATGCACAGGGGTTACTCCTGGCTCTGCGCTCAGGAATTACCCCTGGCAGTGCTCAGAGGACCATATGGGATGGTGGGAATCGAACCCGGGTCGGCTGCGTGCAAGGCAAACATCCTACCCACTGTGCTGTTGCTCCAGCCCTGTGTGATTGAAATATTTTTTATGTTTAATCCTTGTCCCCATTTCTTCCCAGTTACTATTGCTTAATCAGATATGTGTTACTTGCTAGGAGAAAGAAAATGTTAATTAGGCTGTTAGACTGCAGAATGCTTAAATTCGAAATAATTTTTTTTTTAATGAATCACCATGGGATACAGTTACAGACTTACAAACTTTCATGCTTACGTTTCAGTCATACAATGAACAAGTACCCATCCCTTCCCTATTCTCCACCACCAGTGATCCCCATAGCCCTCCCACCACCCCCACTCGTCCCCCCCACCCCACCCCACCTCTGTGGCAGGGCATTCCCCTTTCCTCTCTCTCTCTCCTTATGGATGTTGTGGTTTGCAATAGAGCTATTGAATGTCCATCATTTGGTCTGTAGTCTACTTTCAGCACGCATCTCCCATCCCAAGCGGCTCTCCAAGTACCCCATACTTGGTGGTCCCTTCTCTGTCTGAGCTGCCTTTTCCCCCAGCATGTGAGGACGGCTTCCAAGCCATGGAACAATCCTCCTGGTACTTATCTCTACTGTTCTTGGGTGTAAGTCTCCCATTCTGTTACTTTATATTCCACAAATAAGTGCAATCTTTCTTTGTCTGTCCCTCTCTTTTGGACTCATTTCACTTAACATGATATTCCCCATGTTGATCCACTTATATGCAGATTGCATGACTCTGAATATATGCTCAATGAATTATAGATCTCACCTGGGTATATGTGAATCATGATTCACAAATAGTCAAAGTTGAGAAAAAGATAAATGAGATTTATTGTAATGTCACAAACACAGATTCGTTTGTGCAATATCAGTCATATACCAGATTTGTTAATAGAGATAAAAAAGACATCTTCAAAGGTACTCTGAAAGGTGAATGAGATAATACCATACTGTGTAGACTGTAATGGTTGCAGCTGAAGAGGATATGTGTCAAAAAAAGTTTCATTAAAAATAATCATGGTACCCCAGTTCTACTAGGTGGCCTGAGTTCAGCTCTCCAGTGCCTCATGAACATTTTTAAGGATACAGTCACGGTCCTCCCGTTGTTCATTGATTTGCTCGAGCGGGCCCAGTAACATCTCCATCATGAGACTTGTTACTGTGTTTGGCATATCAAATACGTCACGGGGAGCTTGCCAGGCTCTGCCGTGCGGGCGAGATATTCTCGGTAGCTTGCCAGGCTCTCCAAGAGGGGCGGAGGAATCGAACTTGGGTCGGCCATGTTGGCCGCTTGTAAGGCAAACGCCCTACCCGCTGTGCTATCACTCTATGTGAACTTAAACAGGCATATGGGACTTATAGATAGTAAAGTTAACTAGAGAATATAAGAAATGGCAGTGTCTCTTTTAACAGGCACTTTCAAGGTCTTTCCAGAGTAGGATGCTTTTTTGTTGAACTTGACCCATGCACGAGTGATTCCCAGGGAAGGAAGGAAAGGAAGCAAAGACAGAGGCATGAGATAGGCCTTTCAAGGGTTTACAAGCACTTGAGTCACAAAGGAGCACTGTGTGGAAGCCTACACCTGGCAAGAGTTTTTAAGAAAGCCAGACAGATTTTGAATAGTCCAGATTTCTCTCATATCTTAAGATATAAGCCCGAGGCAAAGAATTCAAGGGAAATAGAAAACACAGAGACCTAGCAACTTTGCAGTAAAATGAGTGTGACAAGTTGTTTAGAGTATTTGAAGTAATAATAATAAACTTGTTTTAATAGTAATCTGAGTTGTTGAAAAAAAAAAAACCTGATGATAGTTGCATGGAATGTAAGGGTTTAAAACTTAGCAGTTGTGGGGCCAGAGCGATAGTACAGTGGGTAGGGAGTCTGCCTTGCATGTAACTGATATCCCATATGGTCCCCTGAGCACTACCAGGAGTGATTCCTGAGTGCAAACCCAGGAGTAACCCCCGAGTATTGCCAGGTGTGACCCAAAAAGTAAAATAAAAATAATAAAACTTATCAGTTGTAAAAACTCATTGGCTACAGGATAGAAGTACCAAAGGATAACAAGGGTAAATGTATCAAAAAAAAAAAAATGGGCTGCCTAGATTTTCAGGTCTTTAGAACTTAAAATACATCAGCAGTTTATTATAAACTTCTAAAGCTAATAAAAATATTTTTTCTTCTCTGGAAAGAGGTTTTAGTAGTTTGTTAAACAGGTTTAATTGTATCATGTTCTTTTTTAACTTGAATTTCAAGGATGGAAGATTTAGAAATACTTTTTGAGCTTTAGTTTGAAAATTGGCATTGACTTTCAACTGAGCTTCTTCCCCCACTTCTTTCTCTTTCGCTCTCTTTTTTTAATAATACCTCCCACCTTTACCCCCCATATAATAGGAGTTAAAGAATGCTGAAATAGCTTTGAGAACCCAGAAAACACCGCCTGGACTCCAGCATGAAAATACAGCTCCTGCTGAGTAAGTTACTGAATCTTTTATTTATAGTTTTTTGGGGAGGGGGGGCATAACCTTGTTGTGCTTGGGGCTTACTCCTGGCTTTGCATTCAGAGATCACTTGAGGTGGGTACAAGGGACCAACTATATGTGGTACTGGGGATCGAGCAGAACTTCTGCAAGGCAGATACTTTTCCCATTGTACTTCTCACTATGGCCAGAATTTTTTTTAAACAAATGTTTCTCACTTTCAAGCGATATACTTTCTTGTTTTTGTTCTTTTGTTTTTGGCCACAAACAGTGATGCTCAGGGGTTACTCCTGGCTCTGCCCTAAGAAATTACTTTTTTAACAATGCACAATTTTTAAGTTTACAATGCAGTAAAAGGAGTTATCAAACTCTCCGCACGGATTTTACATTTTACTTCTCAATATTAAGAAGGTGCAGTTTATTAGTCTCATTGTCTGGAGGCATAAGACAAATAGTTAGATTTGAACTTTTACCTTACTCATTTACATGTCAATTACAGACTCTTTTCTACTATTTTATAGGTAGGGACTGGAAAGAATACAGGAGTTACAGCGTTAGCCTTGTATCCCGCCAATCCTGGTTCAAATCTCTGGCTCCACAAATGGTCGCCTGAGCACTGTCAGCTGGGAGCAGCCCCTGTGCACCACTGGGTGTGGCTCTAATACACTCACACATGTCTATTTCAGGTAGTAGAGACTTACGATCTTTTACCACATACTGAAACTAAATTCTGGAGTGAGTTTTTTGAGGCCACAATCAGCAGTGTTCATGGGCTTTTTCTGGCTCTCTTCAGGAGTGATGCCGGCAGTGCTCAGGGAATCATATGTGTGGTGCCAAGGACTCAAACTGGAGGCAGTTGCATGCATGAAAAAATAATCTTATCATGGCCCCTTCATTAAACTGGGCATGCTAATTTTGTTGTAGTCTATTAACATATATTTTCACAGGCAGTATTAGTGAAGGAAGTTTTATTTATTTATTTATTTATTTATTTATTTTTTGAGAAGGGTATTTGGAGGCCACATGCTCTCGCCTACCACAGTAGGGTTGACTTTGTGCTCTGGGTTCACTCCTGGCAGGGCTTGGGACCATATATGGTGCTGGGGATCAAATGTGGATCTGCTGCAGAAGCTCTCCGACCCAGGAAGACAAATTTTAAAAATACAATGATCTAAAATAAAATCATCACTTAAGAGTCTCATCACTCAGTTTACATAGGCATCTAGTTCTGTGTTTCCTATAACTTTTTAAAAATATTAGTTCCTTTTGTATATATATTTCAGATGCTCACCATATGCCACATGGTGTGCTTTGCACTTTCTGTATTTTACCTAATTTTTCACAAAACTCTACATCTGTTAGTATCCCAGTCTTAAGAGATTAGAAACCTGAGTCGGGAGGAGTAACATTCTGTGGGAAATAAGCCTCTGCCACTCAGTGGATTTGTGAGTGCTTTGACACCTCATCCTTCACATACGACTTCTTACATGATTTTGGATTTAGTAGCTTGAAAGAGTACTTTCTGCCAGTTTCCTGCATGATAACTTTTTTACTGTTCCTTGTTTCTTGCTCTTGTTACCCTTGAGCATTTGGAGTTATTTAGAGACATGCTTTTTAGTGTTCTTCATTGTGGATTTAGGGTATTCTCATAAGTACACAACAGTATAATGATCAAAATTCAAAAGTTGGCAATCATGACATACCTGTCGTCTTGCTCAGATTAGTGTGATACTTTTACTGACTTTCTAATGTTACTCTTCTATCTTATTTTTATGTGACATCAGAGCTAGCTTTGAAATGAGTAGCACTTCATTTTCCACCACAAGAAGCTTGCACAGCTCCCTTTTTATGTGTGGAATAGTACTCAGGATTGCTTTGTATGTCATTCAGGATCCCATTTTTTCTAGCATTCTGTAGGTTAAATTTATCAGAAGAGCAGTAATGTATTTTTGTATACTGTAATATTTTTAAATATTGTTTTAGAATAAAAATTTGATTAAATGGCACGTTTATAATATATAATACAAATATATAATTTCATAATATAAATAAGGATTTCGTTGTAAGTTCTGATTGACAACTACTCTTTTTAAAATGTTTATTCTGAATTTATTTTAGATTTAGAACTTGCAAAATTCATAGTGTGAAGAATTTTTTTATATTCCTTTCCTTGCTTTGCTAATGTCTATTGTACACCCACAATATTACTATAAAGAAAAGAAAATTAACATTGGCATAGTACTAACTACAGGCCTTAACTTGAGTTCTGCTCTTTTCCACAAAAGTATTTGCTGTTGGAGAATTGAACTTTTCTGTTCTGAGATTTGGTCCACATTGTATTTAATTGGTATTTCTTCTTAGTCTCTTCTAATCCCTTCCAATCTATGACAGTGATTGTCTTTCTTGTGCTTGATGGCTTTGATACTTCTTAAGGAGTACTAAGTTCCTTTTGGGGGGGGGTGTGGGGCACACACAATGCTGCTCAGGACTTACTCCTGGCCCTGTTCTCAAGGTTCGGTGGGTTGGGGAATCTTATGGGATGTTGGGGATCAGACCCGGGCTGTGCACATGCAAGGCAGGTGACCTACTCACTGTACCATCACTCCAGTTATTTTGACCCGGCAAAAGTTATTTTGTAGATTTTTCTTCATTGAGGTTTTTCATGACTGAAGTAAATATATATCTAGTATTGATACTCTAATAACATGAATTTGGGCTTTTTTCCCCATGATAGTATCTGTTCCACCTAAAGATATTTTATGCCACCAGACATTTAAAGATTTAAGATTGAAAGATTTAGCAGTGTATATGTTTTTGGAACTTTTTTTAATTTTGGCATTTTGAGTCTAAAGAGATATTTAAACAACTTGGATCTGACTTTGTAAATATTTTAATGTAGCTATTTCAGAATCTTGGTTCAACAGTTTGAAGTACAGCTTCAGCAGTATAGACAACAGATCGAAGAACTTGAAAACCATCTGGCCACTCAAGCAAATAACTCACATATAACACCTCAAGGTAAAATATTTTCTATAGTTTACTTTTCATGTTTCTTTGTGTTACTCTTCACCTCCCCTCCACCCCCCACCTCCAGCCCTGAGTGTGATGCCAGGGTCTCATACCTCACACGTATATAGCAAGAACCCTTACGGTTATTTTTTACTTTTTTTTTTAAGCACTTAAATTTTTGATAAGAGAGAAGCGATTAAGCTGTCATTATATAGTGGATATTCTAAATCCGCTAGTAGTCTTTTGCTGTCATAAGAAAACTTTCTTAAGTCCTTGATTAGATTTTTATTATCTGTGACTAAATTTTTTAAGAATGTTACTGTGCTATCAAAGGCAGAAGTAATAGTAAGACGTCTTCCCCTAGGCAGCTGGAATAGAGAAGGGATCACTAAAAAAAAGATGACTGGAGGAATCGGTCAGGATGGGAGATGTGTGTAGAAAGTAGATAAAGGACCAAACATGATAACTTCCCAGGGTCTGTATTGCAAACCATAATGCCTCAAAGTAGAGAGAGATGATGGGGAATCATATCTGCCATGGAGGCAAAGGGAGGGTGGGAAAGGGGGGTTATACTGGGGGTATTGGTGGTGGGGAATGTGCACTGGTGGAGGGATGGGTGTTTGATCGTTGTGTGATTGTAACCCAAACATGAAAGCTTATAACTATCTCACGGTGATTCAATAAAATTAAAAAACAAACAAACAAAAAGACCTCTTCTCCTAGATGACTGCTAAGATATCCTTCTCTCTTCAGTTTTCTCTTACCCATGTATTATTTTGTTATCTTCTTCTTACACGTTAACTGTACCAGAAATTGGAGTGAAGTAATAGAAAAATCAAATTGTGTGCTATATTTATTTGTATGCTGTATTTATTTGTATAGTAACCTATTTTTCTTTTATAGATTTGTCAATGGCTATGCAGAAAATTTATCAAACCTTTGTAGCTTTAGCTGCACAACTGCAGTCTATTCATGAAAATGTGAAGGTGAGTTTTCCTTGCAGGTTTAGCTATCTGGATGTCTAGACCAGGGACTTCTCACACTTTTTGCCTGAGAAATAATTATATGATTTAAAGATTGGTATATAAAATTGGTATACAGATCAAACATTTACTTACAATAAACCATACATTTATTTTAAAACAAATTATTCGTGACACCCACATTCAGTTGTGTGACTCAGTTTAAGAAGCTAAGATATAGAACTGAGTGAAATATTTACTCATTTGCAAGATAAAACCATCAGTGCTTAGTACAAAATATAGCTCAAATTATTTAAGTGGAAAGGTTAAAATTTCATAATCCATAATCCTGCCCAGGCACAGCCATGGGTAATGATTGTTTTTTATTGATTTGGTTTTGGGGTCATACCAAGTGTTGCTCAGGTGTTATTCGTGGCTATATGATCAGGAGTGGTCTGTGGTAGCACCAGGGACTGAACCAGGGTGTGACATCTGTTGCCACATGTAAGGCAGGAAGGAACCTCACCTCTTAAACTATCTCTCCTGTCCAAATTACTTTTTTTTTTTCTAATTTTTATTAGTGAGACACCATGAGGTACAGTTGTAGACTTAGAAATTTTTGTGCTTGGGTTTCAATTATACTATGATCAAATACCCATCCCTTCACCAGTGCCCGTTTCCCACCACCACAGATCCCAGTATCTCTCCCATCCCCCCAAGCCCCCTCATCCCATCCTGCCTCTATGGCAGGGCATTCCCTTTTGTTCTCTCTCTCCTATTGGGTGTTGTGGTTTGCAAAAGAGGCAATGGGTGACAATCATGTTTAGTCTATAGTCTACTTTCAGCATGCTTCTCCCATTCTGGGAGGATCCTCCCAACACCCTTTATTTGGTGCTCTCTTCTCTATCTGAGCTCCCTTTCAGCATGTGTGGCTGGCTGGCCTCCAAGCCATGGAGCAAAATTCCTGGTACTAATTTCGACCCAGCAATACCACTCCTGGGAATATATCCCAGAGAGGCAAAAAAGTATAGTCGAAGTGACATCTGCGCTTGTTTGTTCATTGCAGCACTCTTTACAATAGCCAGAATCTGGAAAAAACCTGAGTGCCCGAGAACAGATGACTCAGAAAAAAAGGGATAGACAAATTACTTTTTAAAGATTCAAATAACCCATACAATCTATTCTTTTAAAATTTTCATCTTGCTGTACATTTAGGATACTTTGATCATTATAAATAAATATTGTAGCAAGATCGTTACATATTACTTTAATGTTAGTGTTTTGTTGATTAACCATTACACTAAAAAGGTAGCTGACATTTCTTCCTTCTAATATAGAGAACTGTTTGTGCTTATTCAGCAGAGAGATAAAACAACTTGTAAAGAATATTATTTCATTAGTTTAATGTCTAGTTGGCAGTAGTTTACAATATTAGTTTATAGATTCTTCAGAGATAAGTTTAGTACCTCTATATATAGGAATCACCATAGTGCATCACTAAAGAATACAGTGCAATTCCACCCCAAAATGAACCTTGTTTTTTCAACCATCTCCCTTTTCTGCTGATAACCCTAATTTTCAGAGTTTAGTGTGCCCCCCCCCCCCCCGTATTTCATGAGATTCAGGAAGATAGTTCTCTTTCACTTTTACCTATTTCACTCAGCCTAATAACCTTATTTCCCATCAGTCTTGTTCTAACTGGTACAACTTTAGCAGTTTTAATGGCAGAGTAATACTTCATTCGGTGTTGTGTACCATAGCTTCTTTATCCAGCCATATGTTGATAGGCTTGATTAATTCCATGTGTTGACTTTGGAGAATATGCTGCCAGAAGTGCAAATTTCATTTTGAATTAAAGTTTTTCATTTCCTTTGGAGGCTAAAGGTTTTTTGTTGTTTTTTGTTTGTTTTTATGGCTAAAGCTAATAATTCTAATGTCTTTATTATATAGATATCTTTATAATATAGATGGTATTTTCCTTCACTTTTATTATGAAAATTTTCAAATACAAAAATAGAGCGCCATTATAATGATGGCCTGGCTCCCCACAAACCAACTTCAACCATTATCAGGTTCCTGTTGGTATTTTTTATCACTTCTCCCTGTCAAAATGTTTTTTTCCACTTGAGTATTTTAAAGCCCACCCCAGGGCTTTCCTTTGTAAGGACATGTGCTTTTTCCTATGACCTGTTTTCCTCTCAGGTTTGAAAACTTGTACCCTTTTCAGTTACGTGACTCTAAAGTAATTAAAAATGATTCACAAGAAACATCATACTGGATAAACTTCACATAAAATGTAGCCTGGCAAGCTCCCTGTGCGTATTTGATATGCAAAAAACAGTAACAACAAGTCTCACTGGAGACGTTTCTGGTGCCCACTTGAGCAATTGATGAACAACGGGAGGACGGTGTAACAGTGCTTCCTTTTAAAAAAATCTACATGTCTTAAGAGCCAAAGAATAATTTATGATTAGGTTTGGTGTGTTACCTTTTATTTCTCAACTGCAGTTGGTGAGCAAACTTCAATTTCTAGTTACATTCTTTTTTTCAGAACTCTCAGAAGAAGTGTATTTTTGTTTTGTTTTTCATGGAATAATAGGGCTGGAGTGATAGCACAGCAGGTAGGGTGTTTGTCTTGCACAGAACCGGCCGGTTGACCCGAGTTTGATTCCTCTGCCCCTCTCGGAGAGCCCGGCAAGCTACCGAGAGTATCTCGCCCCCACAGCAAAGCCTGGCAAGCTACCCATGATGTATTCAATATGCCAAACACAGTAACAAGTCTCAGAGTGTTACTGGGTCCGCTCGAGCAAATGAATGAACAACGGGAGGACAGTGACAATAGTTAAAATCTATTGATACGCGTTTTAGACTCTTATCCAGCTGGCCCCTCGTGACAGAAATTTGGAAATTTCATCACTTCGTTATATAAATTATGATTGGCATCTGTTTTAATTGTTTTGTGTGTGTTTTGTTTGACTTTTTCAAGCATTAATTACCATTATTTAAACTAGAACTAAAATTTAAGGCCTATTGATGCAGACTGTGTGTGGATATTTTGCTCGTAATTGTACAGAACAGGTGAGGATGAATTTGGAATAAAATTAGTTGTAGTGTGGTGTAGGTTTCTGATTTTACATATCCTGTTTCTTACTTTAAATAACTAAAGTTCTTGTACCTTTCAATACATTATATAGATAGTAAAAGTAACTAGGACACTGAGACCTCCACAAAAGGAGATGACAGAAATATTACTGTTATATATAATACTCAAAGCTAACATTTCTGTGTTTGTTATTGGTTATGACCATGGTACCTAATATTTAACATTTTAGGTGAGAGTTCTTCACCAGACAAGCGCTCAAGGCTACTACTGGCCCTGTGCTCTTTCATTGCTCTTACTAGTGTTTGTGAAGATGGATCCTGGGCCTCCTGTGTATTATATACATTCGCAAGGCCCTTTGTGTTTCTTCTCTGACCCCTGATAATCACTTTTTGAGAAGATGAAGTAGGAAATAAAATTTGATGTCTCTTTATTTTCTTTGTTTTGGGTTTTTTGTTTTTGCTTTTTTTGGTTTTTGGCGGGGGCGGGGGGGGGGGGGGAATGGGGACGGGACACCTGGTGCTGTTCAAGGGCATACTCCTAGCTCAGGAGACCCTATCAGGTGCTGGGGGTTAAACCTGGGTTGGCTGCTTACAAAGCAAGTCTCTCTGGCTATATTGCTATACTCTCTCTCTGACTCTAATTTAATGGCTATTTAGAAATTGCTATGGAACCCTCCTAAATTAGGTCATACCTTTAATAAAAGTATGCCAGAGTTGTAATGTGAAATGTATTTTTAGTGCACTTATCAAGGTACTTGGGCAAACTACCCTACTTTGCGACAAGGATGTACAGAGGGGGCAGGGTTTGGAGGCTTAGAAAATGAACCAACTAGCCCACCTTATGAACTTGGTAAATTTTTTCTGTTCTTGTGTAATTATAAGTTTACTAGTATTTTCCTCACCTGATTTCATTGCATTAAGTTTCGTATGAATCATTCGTATAAAAGTCAAACAAATAATGGTAAGAGTAAAAGTTTTCTTTATATATTCCAAGCTCCTTCTGGGATTTTAAGCTTTTTTGTTTGTATGTGGTCCTGGAAATCCAACCCAGAATCTCATATATGGGAAGGTATGAGATTCTCTACTCTACTGCTGAGCTGTTTCCAAGGTTTCATAACATCTGATTTTAATATATGTTATCCAGGCCTAAAAATGGCATTTAACAGGTAGATTCAGTATTGACTTTTTAATTATGTTTTTTAAAGTCTAAAGATGACCAGAGGGAATTTCTATGAAAAATTAGAATATTACATTTGTAGTTTTAGTATTCTGCTTGTTTGATACCTTGGCTAACCCAGTTCCAAAGAAGACCTCAGAAACCAAAATGGGGTAGGCATTTTATTAGAAAGATAGGAAAGAAATGGGAAAGGAAATACTCAAAGGGGTGATAAGCCCTTTCACTTTCAGCCGAGGTGAAATACTTGATCCTGGCAGTGTCTTTGTTCTGTCTTCGCTAATTTGTTTGATTCTGTGCGTTCACATATTACCGGAGTCAGATGTTCTCTTCTTCCTCTAGGTGCTCAAAGAACAGTACCTTGGCTACAGGAAAATGTTTCTGGGAGATGCTGTAGATGTGTTTGAAGCCAGGCGAGCGGAAGCAAAGAAGTGGCAGAATGCACCCAGAGTCACTACTGGTCCCACCCCTTTCAGCAACATGCCAAATGCAGCAGCCGTTGCCATGGCTGCGACACTTACACAGCAGCAGCAGCCTGCTCCAGGTCTGAATGCATTCAAGTTATAGCTTCTTACTGTTCAAATACAGAACGTTAACTGTGCATTTTTATAAGTCTTCCTTTTATGTTAGCACTGAAGAAATTTCTCGATAGCTGTTCCAATACAGTCTCAAAATTGTGATGGACACAATTCTAAACATACACCTGATTCAAAATGCAGGGTAGTCTTAGCAATAATTATATATCAGATATTGAATATTGTGAATTTACTAAATGTTACTTGCTGTGTTGCTATTATTGCCCTTTAGAACATGCTGTTTCACTACTGAATTACATTTAAGAATAGCATTCTAAAATTCTGACTGTATTACCTAAAGTCAGCCATATGTTGCATTTTTCCTATATGATTCTGAAAGATGGTGCATTCTTGTTTCTTCTTACTAGTGATTACAGAGTACCCATATTTAGGATGTCGTACATTTTTATTGATGAGTTGTGTTGAAAATCAGTAGGTTGTTTGTATTCATATTGCCTGGAAAGTGTACGGGCCTATTTAAGCCAAATTTGGAAGAAGGTACATACTAGAATTACTTGTACCTTTTCAAAAAGTATAGAACAGTAGTGAGAGCAGGAAAAATATATTTATATGCCATGGATTGCACATGAAACAGCTTGGAAGCTGAGCAGATGAAAATGATTGGATTGTTAGGTACTGGAAAGAAAGCAGATGGTTTTTGTGGTTCTCCAGTATTTGGTTTGGTCTTTTAGAGATTGTTTTTTTATTTGCTACAGCTCCTTTTTGGTCAGATTTGAAGTTTTACGTGAAAAAGTAAGCTCCTAATAGATCCTGATTTTTTTGTTTATGTTTTCAGAAAATTTTAGTATTTGAGAAATTGTGAGGGTTCCCTAAATAAGTTTCAAACTAATTGGCAGTTTGAAATTTTCTGTGGGGTCAGGGAGATGACTCCAGAGTTAGGGGTACATGTTTGCCTGCTCTGGGCCAGAGACCTCAGTTCAGTTTCTGGAGCCACATGGGCCTCCCACCCTCACCCCTCCAAAGCACTGCCAGTGTAACTCAAACGTTGAACTGTCTGGCCTGATGTAGCCCCTGAGCACAGTTTAGGAAACTCCCCTCCGATATACAGCCCCACCAAGGAAAATTGTTCTTCACATATGGAGATGATGGAATTACCTTGCCATCAATCAGTGGTTGTTGATAGATAATGCCAAATCTTCCACATTCCGGGGCTGGACCTATGCAGATAGGGGCTCACATAAGCACAGTGCTGTAGTTCTCTAGATGGAGTGTAGAATTGCATTCTCAAGTTACAGAGGCAAGAATGATTATATCATCAGTGGTTAATTAGCTGATCCTACTAACCATAGGACCTATTTACGTTTACAGTAACAGTCATAAAGTAGAACAGATAAGCATGGGTTTGGTTAAGTATTCTTCAAGATTTCCATTTTAATAAAATGAGAAAAGTCTATTGTTCATATAAGGTTGCAAGTGAAATATTGTAGTTTATAACCAAAATAGAATTATTTGTGCTTTTTTGCGGGGGGGGGCAGTCTGTATAGGTTTGTCGATTTTCACTCATAGTTTGGGCTTACAGACATAAGGTATATATATTTTCGTTATATTAATTGAGTGCCTACTGTGTGCTAGCTTTGGCGGTTACAGAGGTATCCAGAGAGGTTTTTGTTCTGTGGTGGTGGTAGAGTATTTGCTTAATTCAGCATAGTCATCTTGGATTTTCTTTGTATTTATATGCTTTAGTTTTGTGGTGACTTCTGCCAGTCTTTGGAGAAACTAATTTCTGTGTTCATTTTAAAGATCTCTTAAGGCTTTCTTATGAGGTGGCAGGAATTGTCATTTCTACAGTGTTTTCACTTTAAGTGGTTTGGATTTTTAGAACTGAGAATCTTAATAATTTTTTTTTCCTTTTGTTTCTTTTAAAGGTCTGCCAGGTACCTTAGTTCATTCCTTTATGCCTCTCCAGTGCAGAATGCTTGTTCTGTCATGTCCTATCTAGAGTGAAATGTTTGTGCTTTGGGAAAGACATCTGTACTGATTAATCAGTTAGAACCCATCCAGAAGTGTCCCTATTTATTGGGTTATGCTTTGTATTTAGCACTTGATTCTCATGTCCTGTTACTTTGAAATCTCGTTTTAGTGCCAGTTTTTTAAATGAAGTTTTTTGATGAAATCTTTTAAGTGCCATTTTTTTTCAAGATGACCTTAAAGGTCATCAACATGAAAGTAACTCCTGCTACTTTTGTTAGTTTGACTTGTGTAAGATTTGAATTGGCGGTGTTCTGTTTTTATTTGCATGTGATTGCTAACTTAAAAAAACATAACTTTTTAGTCTGTTACCTTCAAAGGTGAGTTATGTGTGCGTGTGTGTGTGTGTGTGTGTGTGTGTGTGTTGTTTTGGTTTCTGGCCACACCACGTTGTACCCAGGGCTTACTCCTTGCTCTTTGCTCAAGGATCACTCCTGGCAGGGTTTGGGGGACCATATATAGTGCCAGGGATTCAACCTAAGTTGGCCACGTGCGAGGCAAGCACCCTACCTGCTGTACTTCTCTCTCCAGCCTGAAGGTGGTTCCTTTCTAATCTTTTCTTGGAAATGGGAAGGTATGGCCTTAATGACTTTTTGACCCATCCTTAAAAGATGTATATCGAGTTGATACATGGTCATGTATATTTGATATGGTTCTGAAGGCTGAAGAGAATTGAAGAACCAGCAAACTATATGTGAAATAAGCATCATACATATTGGTAGATTCTAGGTGCTTGTCCATCAGTGTTTCTGAAGCCTCTTTAAATAAAGTTGAAGGCTTTAAAGTATAATTCTAATTTAAAATAGACTGTTTTAAGCTAATATACTGGGATTTTAAAAAGTTCTTGATGTTTACATAGACTTTTCTCATGTGACTTAGGCTGCTGTTTTTAAGGAGTGCAAGACATTTTGTTAGGAATTACTACTTTCTAACCTCTAGTATAGGTTTGGAGAATTCAAATGTGGTATTTAGTAGGCAATTTCAGTGTTTCATTTTACCTTCTTGTGGTTTTGTGATTTCATTGTATCTAACAACCAAAGGAACATCCCCCATCAAATCAGTAAAAATTTTCAAATTGGGGAAAAGGAATTTTTTGTCTTTGAAGAAAAATACTGTTTTAAAAATATGACATAGAAATATACATACTAATAATGTTGAATATTTTGAGTGATCATTGAAAATTATTAAAACAGAATTTTAGCACTTTATTCCTTTTCCTGTGATTGCAGTTTTACTTTTAAGAAGGTAGAATTTATTCTGGAAAATAAGAGTTACAGTGCTAAACTCAATTTTGTTGTGTGTGAGTATATTATTTGGTAACTTGTAAAATGTTACTCTACATGAAGATTTCACTTTGGCAATCATTGGAGTGTGTATTACTACTAAAACTTGGTTTTATTTATGAAACTTTAAGAGCCTCTCATTGAATGAGTATTCAGAATTTGAAACATGTCTTGAGTTGTTTACGTAACTTGCCCGAAGGGTTTAGATTCTGCTTTCTAATAGTGAAACTAATTTTTATGGTGGCCAGAGTGTAATATAATGCTAATACTTTGGCATGGGATATATTTATCATGAGTTTTTACTATTAAAAAATGTTATACATTTTACCTACTAGTTTTATAAATGATGCTGCCTTCAGAATTTGTGTGAAGGTACAAAACTCAAAATATGTACCTATTGTGCAATGGAAAGTCTTGTCATTGTTGAGTTCTTGATTACCTATGTCCTAATTAATGATGACTATAGAGTTGCTCTTAAAAACAGACCCAGACACAACAAATACCTACGTGTTACGGGAGTAACTCGGATGACGGGTCGGGCTGAGGGCTGTGGTGCGCATTATTCTTTGGGTCTTCCACCAGCAGTGCCTCCTGTTACCATGTGACGCTTCAGTCTCTCTGTGAAAGAATCTGGACATGTGTTCTTACATATTTTGTTAGAAGTGAAAAAGCTTTTCATTTTTTTCCCTATGGTTATATATTACAAAACTGCTGCTAGGCAGGTATTTTATTCTTAAATTGGATCAGACTGGATATAAAGGTTTCAGTCCTTTTAAGATTTATTTTTTAATAGTAGTATAAGAATGTTGGCTGCTATTAGTTTTTATTCTTTATTTTTTGGATCAATGCTATTTGAATAGTCCAGTTTCTGTCCTAGTGTAGCAAAATGTTGTCTTACAGTTAGTTTCCTTTCTGTTTAAATGCTTTATAATTTCACACTACCTTTTGAATACACAAACCTCATTCTTTATTGAATAACTTGAAATGCTTTGGGGGTTTTTTTTGGAAAGTTTAAAATTCAGTCTGTGTATCGCTTTGGCAGCCCCCTCATAAGATGCACTGATCACTGTGCTTGAAAAAGACAAGACTGAAGATTGTACTATGAAATTACTGAATAATTTTCATAAACTTTATCAGATGAGAGATTTTTAGATTTTTGTATTCTGCTTAGTTAAAAAAATGTAGTCAGAGAGGCTAGAAGTTTGATGCTATTCTTGCCAAACAAACTCAGCCAAATTCTTTCAAGTGACAAAATGGGAAAGAGGATAATAACTAATCTTTCTGCATCTGAGTACATTTTCCAAAGTGTTGGAAATAAACTTCTGAATTGAAATCTTGAATGTATTGAATCTGTCAAGGTCCACAGTGGTGCCTTTGTAAATGTTCATTATCTTATTTAATCAGGTGATAAGTGGTGTAATGTAGCAGAGCTTAATAGAACTCAGTTACCACTTCTTGTGAACAAGTTGGAATTGTCATGTTACTGTGTAATTGATTTTGCTTTACAATGACCAATAAATTTAATAAAATAAAACATTGTCTTGTTTTTTATGTATTTTATAGATGATATTTTATATAAGCAACTCTGCCTAGTTTTTTGGGTCCTTAAAAGTAACATGATAGTTTTGCCATATTAGGGTCAAGTCTCTTGATCAGTTGACACTTGACCCTAATGGTGAAGGCTTGTTTTAAAAAGAAAAACGTAAAATCTTTTATTGAGTATACCAATACTTGTATTAGAAAACAAGTGGGGAGATCTAACATCATTTTAGAAGCAAACCCAAAAGAACTATAATTTACAATACATTAAAGATTTCAAATTACTTAGGTCTGAAGCTTAAACTAATTCAATAAGAAGAGCCTCTTTTTTAATTGTCCAGAACGGAACAAGTTAATTAAAAAAGAAAAACTTTTGGTGGGGGGAATAGGTAAATTAGTTGTGACAAATAAACTAGACTGGGGAGAAAGCCTTGAAAACAAAGTTTTAACAATAGCGTTTGTAAAAGTAATCACTGTTTATCTTTAAAATAATTTCATAAAAAACTTTAATCTTGAAAGAGTAAGGCAAATTTGTTTTTTTCCCCCCATTTTTTTTTTTCCCTCATACCAGGGCCACAGCCATCTCTGGGAGTTAGTTTTGGAACGCCTTTCGGCTCAGGTATTGGCACTGGCTTGCAGTCAAGTGGCTTAGGTTCTTCGAACCTTGGAGGTACACTTTAACTTTTCTAATATTGCATTGCTCTCTTATACATTTGAATTGATACACGCCTGTAACAAATTTCTAGGAAGTTTCTGCTATTTTGGAAGTGAAGTTTCCAGCTGACCTAAGGATTCTCAAAAAATGTTTTATCTAGAATATTAGATTAATAATTTTTTTTAAAAATCTCTTTTTTTTTTGTGAACAGTAAAATAAAACCTTGAAGTTAAATGGTTAGGGATGTTTCTGTTTCAAAGCTACATGCTAAAATATGAACTTGAAAGTTGCTTAGCTTAATTTAACGTTTAAAAACTCTGTTTTGAGACCATACTACTGAATATACCTTTTCAGTCATCTTTTTTTGAAAATGAGCACTTTAAATGGAAAACTTAATTTTATTTTAAATTTAGTACACTCCTAAGTATGTTTACGTAAATGCATATTTGTATTTGTCAGCAGTCCCACTTATTTTAGTAGTTTCCTAAGTTAATTCTAATTAGTAAGGTAAGTTTCCTGTAAAAACATTATCCTAAATTCAAATGCATTTCCAGTTCTCTGAAAGTTGTTTCGATTTTGACAGGTTTACTGTCAAAAAATTTATATGTTTCCCTTATTTACTAAATTATACTAGAATGCATCATTATAAAAGAAGGGAAGCCTGTAGTCTATTATCGTTACTTCATAGATTAGATTTAGATTTAGATTTAGATTTAGTGAAGATTAATTAGAAATAGGGTGGACAATTCCTGTGATCTATAATTCAGTTTGCCGGCATATTAAGTTTTAGGCAGTAGTACTGTGGAAGTTTTCAAGTAATTAGGAGAATCTCCAAGCTTTATATGCTAAAAACATTTATTTTTGATTGTGACAATAGTATTATTAAGAGAAAAAGCATGTTTCCACCCCTGCATTCTCACTTTGCCAAAGTTTGGCTGGTACTATTGAAGGAGCGTGCTGAGTAAAGTGTTGATGATTATGTAGTTAGGCCATTTTTCATTGGTCAAACTCTTATTGGTAAAACGCAGAATGAAATTTACTTGCACTTGCTGTTTAAATTGTACATTTTTGTGTTTATGAATTTTGTCTTTTCCCACCACCTCCAAAATACTCCTATGTATATCTATTTGGCTAAAATCATATTTAAGTGGTCACCAAATTTTAGTCTCAACTGGGAGGATCTTCTTGGTTGTTATGACCTTGCTCCTTAAAATTTTTTAATGGGTCATAAATACCATCTACATATGTATAATGTGTAATTTTAGATGTATTCCGTTCCTTCCAGAAGTCTAAGGATTCCTTCAGGCCATTTTTTCCAGCACTGTATTTATGAGACTTTGAATGATTTTAGTTGTCAGTGTCCTTTACCTTTGTTTTACATACCGTTGTATATTTCTCTATCACCCTTCACTAGGATTTGGAACTAGCTCTGGTTTTGGATCCAGCACCACAGGGGCCTCAACATTTGGATTTGGAACAACAAATAAGTCCTCAGGAAGTCTTAGTGCAGGTTTGTGTATTTTTGCCTGAATTTCAGGCAAATTTAAAGGTCACATTTAAAAGATTTGTTACTTCCAATATTTAAAAAAGATCCCCGATTCAGTGTATATCCCTAAATGAAGTATGCCAGCCTATTTAGCTTTTATCTCCCTTCAGTGCTAAAGGTCAGGTTTGTAAAACATTTCTAACAAGATAACAGTTCGGTAGAATAATATATATTCTATAATATTTTGTATAGTACATTATTCATTATATGTTAATGTGTAATCTATAATAAAATAGTTATACTTACTCTTCACTAAGTAAAGATTCTTTTGAACCCAAAGACTTAGCTTCATAAACATTTTTGTTACTGTAAAAACCAGTCCATCATTGTGAAAGTTTAACCCAGTTTTTGTCATTATTTATTTAGGATACACTGAAGAGAAGTTTATACGTTTAGGGGGCCGGAGCGATAGTACAGCGGGTAGGGCGCTTGCCTTACATGTGGCCGACCCAGGTTCAATTCCCTGGCATCTCATATGGTCCCCCAAGCACCAGCAGGAGTGATTCCTGAGTGCAGAGCCAGAAGTAACCTCTCTGCATCGTCGGGTGTGGCCACAAAACAAAACAAAAAGAGACCACCAGTCTGATAAATGACTTTATTTAGGTCTATGTTCATTTTTGAGAGTCTTGACACATCTGATAGAAAATTCAAAATTCCATCTATGTTTGTATTTATATTTGAAAATGCTTGTTTTAATGTGCACTGCTTTTTGTGAGAAACACTGTGTCTGAATTAGGGACTTCTGTTACTGATTAGATTGTATTTAAAGTGAGGGCATTTGTAGGAAATTTCACTTACTATTAAGCAGTATTTGATATTAAGTAGTGTTTAAAATTAGTAGTTCCAACAGAATGAAACAGTAGGAAACATCAGTAGTATCGTTATTGTAAACTAAATTTGCTAATATTAACTAGGCAATAATAGTTTCTTGATCTCAATTATGCAGTTAGCTCCTAGAAAATCAAAACATTAGGCAGTACTCTGTGTTTATTGTCTTGAAAATTGTGGGTAGAGGCTTTCATTAAGGACTTAAAAATCACAAGGGGCTGGGGTCTAAAGGTTGTAAAGTTTCTTACATGTTGATAGACTTTTTCTAGGAATCGAAGAGAATGCCACCGTAGCAGCTATAATTAACAGAGAAGCCTCCAGCAACTCCAAGTTCTTCATAGACTTACTATTCAGACTTACCTGTGTCTTTTGGCCTGTGTTGTTGCAGTTCTATCTTTAAAGGTGCCACTGAGTTGTCGGCTAGATTATTTTCCTTATAAAAATCCCATGTTGCAAATTCAAAGCTCTACACTATTTGCTATTTTTATAGATCACAGAGTCCTAGAACCAGAAACTTAGGCCCCTCCCCTTTTTATATGTTTTGGGTGGGTTTATTTTTTTTGTTGTTGTTGTTGGGGTTGTTTTGGTGATTCAACTTCTGATATGAATATTTTCTTCCCTAAACATAAGGCTTTGGCAGCTCAAGTACATCTGGGTTTAACTTCAGCAATCCTGGCATCACGGCATCTGCTGGTTTGACATTTGGGGTGTCCAATCCTGCCTCTGCAGGTTTTGGAACAGGAGGACAGCTCCTTCAATTGAAGAAACCTCCAGCTGGAAACAAAAGAGGAAAAAGATAGACATATGGGTTGATGTTGAGAAATCTGTAGTGCATCGTCATTCTGAATCTATTTTTCTAAAAGCGATGCAGTGGTTAAATTGCATCCCAGGAGATTTACAAGGTTTTGATATTTTTCTCCTACTTTGGAATTTGAACTTTATTGTTTGCCATGCTAAACATCTTTTTGTGTGTGTGTGAATTTAAAACCCAGTTGTGTACTTGTTATTTTGATTCTCAGTGTAAGAAATGTTACATTACTGATTGGTAAAACTGTTCAATCTAGTGTTAATAATTGTTTTTGTTGATGACGTTTACATTCAGTGAATATATGCACATGTTTCATATACTGATGGTGTGAACTCTAGGGCCTATACTAGAAGGAGTTTTTTTCTTGTAAAGGCCTTTTGAACTACACTGCAGGGCATCTTGTGAATATGTATGTAAATCTATAAAATGTTCTGCACACAGTTGTGTGCTTATAGAATATATATTTGCAGATCTACAACTTTTGCCTCAAGACTGTTTCCCTTTTCTAAGGCTTTTCCATTTTTCACCTTTTGAGCTTCAAATTCTCAGTGCTTGTAGAGTAATAAGCTAGAGGTACCAAGTCGTTGCAGTTCTTTTGCTGCTAGTGTAAATATTTGACCAACTGAACTTCGTTGCCACTGGGTTTTCCCTTAATCTTATTTCACCTTAATGTTTGCAACTGCTTTGAATAAGAAATGCTGCAAACTCAATAGATTTATAACAACTTTTTATTGTCCTGTATATCCTCATACTGCCTATATGAGGTGTTTTTGCATATTTGAGATGGACCTTTAAGAGCATATTTGAACTCCAGACTGATGTTCCGGAGGCAAAGAGCTATTAAGCCAAATTGATTCTATGCAGGTAAAGGATGCACTATTAATTCAGTGGAAACTTTTCTAGCTATTCCAATACCGAGTTCTTTCTTATAGGGCTATTAATAGTGACACCAAAAGGAATGGCTTATTAGCCTCTTTAATGTCTAAGTAAGTGCTTAATTTGGAATAGAGAAACAATATATTTTAAGAAAAAAAGTATTCTTTGTAGCAACTATAAACTCCCATTTTCACACTGAACAGAGCTCCAGGTAATAATACATAGGCATGCCAGATTGTATCTGTGGTATTTGTCTGTATTACTGTTAGTGACGTAGAGTGGGTGGAAGAGTGAGCCCTTGGACAGAGAACTGCCTTAGCCATGGTTTTGAACAGAAACTATTAGGTAGACCTAATTATCTTTCAAGCACAGTGTTCAGATGTGATTATGAACATGAAGTTTCATTGAAAATAATTAAAACTTTTATAAGAAAGATTTTGTACATGATGTGCATCGAGTGAATATTTTTGGCCATTTTCACCAAGGCACCTTTTCTTCTAAAATAGGCATTGCATATATGTGGGTATATATGCACGCCTTATATGTACACATGCATATGTTAGTGTGCTGTTAGTTGGGCTTGATTATAAAAGTATTGTCAAATTCTTTCACTTACTATGATTGGATTCTTGGATTTGAAATTTTTGCACCTTGATGCATTAACATAAGGAAAATGCTTTGTTTCTGAGCACTAACCTTTTTTTATATTTGCGTACTTCTATACTGTAATCCCCACATGCAGATTTTGGGGGAGGATAGGTAAATGTGTGATTTTTGTTGCGTGTGTGTTTACATGTTTTCTAATTATTGCCAGAAATAAATACTCAATTACCACGGACACTTTTTTAAAAAGGTAATTGCTCTGTGCTGCAAAAATATGAGTATTTTTATTTTTGTTCTTTACATATTTTACATTCACTGTGTTAAACCACTGGAAGTCTGTAACAGATCAGTTTGTGATAGGAGTTTAAATGTTGTCATTGTCTCCGTTGTCATCACTTTGTCCAGGGCATGTCATTATGTAAACAATAAAACTTACTGTGTCCGTTGCATTGGATTGTTAGAGGAGTCAGCTGCTCTTGATAAATAATTTTCCAATCATTACTTTTATTCTTGTTTGTTTTTAGTGTTTTATTTTCACTGCTTTATACGTCTTGCTCCTGTCTTCTCAAAACCACAGAAACATTTTCAGTTCTACATTTTAAGTTCTGTGAATAAAAGTAAATAGCAAAAATCCCCTTTAACTCCTAGTTTAATGTTACTTTCTTTGCCAGTTTCTACTCTTATGAAACCTTTTAACATGCCTTTTTGAACATGTGTACAAATATTTGTTATTGGTTGTTTTTTTCCAATTTTATCATTTTTGTTTTGGGTGCTTAGGGCCACATCCAACAATGCTCAGGGCTTACTCCTAGCTCTATAGAGCTCCAGTATCATTCCAGACAGGACCCAGGGGACCATATGCGGTGCCAGGGATTGAATTTGGATGTGGAAAGCAAGCTCATTGCACATTGTACTCTATGATGCCTGATTTTTTTTTTTAACAAGTGGTTTGAAAAAGTCTCTACTCTGTAACTTGGGTATTTTTATTTTCCTCTCAATGGTAGACCTGTATTCTTCTGTTATTATTGATTGATCTTTTCATTAGATTTAGTTCATTAAGAGTTACTTTTTTACATACAGTTGCACCAAATAGATATCCATTCAGTGATTCATTGCAGCTATTTCATGTTGGACAGATCCTTTACATTATTTCAGTTTTACAGAAAAAGCTTCAGTGTCCCTGTACAACTTCATATTTTATTTCTTTGGGATTCCAGAAGAGGAATTGGTGAAATGATAGACAGATGTCAGGTTATGTTCCAAAGATGCTATGTAAATAAGCAGCACAGAAGCCTGTGAATACCCATTTGTTTTCTCTATAATCCAGGATATTATAATATTTGGGAGGTACTACTTTAGAATAAATTAGCTATATATCAATGTAAATAGCCTTTATCCTATTTTCATACAGTTATTTACTAAGTTTTTTTTAGTGATTTATAAGAACTCTATATATAGATTCTAAAGAATATTAGTAATTACTGTTTTTTAATGATAGACTGAAGTTGTGTTCAGATCTTTGCCATGAATATGTGTATATGTGGTTATTTTTATTTATTTTTTTGGTTGGTTTGTTTTGGGCCACACCCTGCAGTGCCCAGGAATCACTCATGGTGGTACTCAGAACCATATGAAATTCCAGAGATTGATTCGGGTCAGCCACATGCAAGGCAAATGTGCTACCCCTGTACTATCGCTGCATCCCTGAACTTGTGCCATCTTGGGCAAGTTACTTTTCTTGACTTCAGCTTCATCATCTAAGCAGTGGACGGGGCTCATAAAGATGAGAGGTTTTGTTCATCAGTCTGCTTGAAGGTAGACACCGGAGCAGCATAAACTGCTGCTTCACAGGCATTTTCTATTCCTGCACCAATCTGAAGTTCCTTGGTCGTGGTAGCAGAATGTGTTATTTTAGTATCTAGTAGATCACCCTGCATGTTCTTGTATGTTTAAATGGGGTGTGGGTGTGTATTTTCACTTCCGGGACACACTTTTTGCTTTTTGGGTCATACCTGGTGATGCGTAGGGGTCACTCCTGGCTCATGCACTCAGGAATTACTCCTGGTGGTGTTTGGGAGACCATATGGGATGCTGGGAGTCGGACCCGGGTCGACCGCGTGCAGGGCAAAGGCCCTACCCGCTGTGCTATCGCTCCAGCCCCTCCAGGACACTCTTAAGATGAACTTTGCTACTGATTTTGTTAGAATTTTATTCTTTAGAATGATACTGGAATGGAAGGGGTATGGTCTAGCAGTACAAGGCCATAAGTTTGATCCATCAGCAATGCCAGGTGTGACCTCCACACAAATAAAGTCAGGATTTCGATAAGATACATTTCATGATTTGACTACTGTGTTTTATATACATTTATTAGGTTTTATAGTGTATATTTGATTCTTGGGTTCCTGTTTTTCCCAGAAGTATTGTTACTAGTGTGGGTTTTTAATCTTATGTTTGAAATATTAAAAATATTAAAAATGCAGATTTAGGGCTGGGTAGATAGTTCAGCAGGTAGAGCACTTGCCTTGGACCTGGGTGACCCACATTCACTTGCCTTGGACCTGGGTGACCACTCCCATGTGGTCTCCAGAGCACCACCAGAAGTACTGATTGCAGAGTGAGGTGTGACTCCAGAACAAAAAATGCAGAGTGGATGGTCTTTTGCAATACATTAAGCCTGAGTTGATAGTCTTGTTTAGAATAGTATGCTTTGCATCAAAAGTTTGTGAATGATGCCTTCCAAAATACTGCAGTGATATTTTTTTTATGTGTTAACTGTGAATGCCACAGGACTTTGTGCTTCAGCATTCCTTTTCCTGCATTTCTTGCTCCAGTTACTACCTGTAAATAAACTAGACCGTGCTGGCATTTGTGGAGCACAAATCACAGTCAGGGACGCAGTACTGGTCCCCCTCAATGGAGCCAGGGTCCTGGAAAGCCTGAGCTATGCCTTAGTGGGTGCTAATTATCTTTCAGTTATCTTGACCTGTCAACATTATTCTCTCCAGTGAATCTATTCTCTCTGGGCAGCTCACTCAGGACTTTATATACATGCCCCTGTGAAATCTCAGCTATTACTCTAATGCAGGAATTTCCCGCTTATAGATGGAAACAAGCCTTTGGGTAAGTAGGTTACCCGAGGTCCCATGACTTGGGTTACGGAATTAGGATTTTAACAGGTCTGCTTGATTCCAAGCACAAGTGACTCTGTCAGTCTGGTATAGGAATAGCACTCTGATTTCCATGTGCAATGCACAAGTTCACCAAAGGTAATGATTACATAGTATGGGAAATGAGAAGTATACAGTAGACTAGATGACAGCAAGGCAATCACAAAGGGCTGCAGTTGTAGAATAACTTTAGGGTGTAAGGAGTGGTTTGAAGATGGATGTTTGAACTTTAATAACCCTGTTCGAGGTTCAGCGAGAAAGCCTTTACACCAAGGCTTGTGTGACTGGTGACCCAAAAGAACTGTACTACTTAGACTGGCTCCCTTACAAGTTGAGCTTTGGTTGGTCCAAGAAAACCATGAGGACAGCAAGACACGTTAAGTGCAGAGTGGCAGTGCAGGAGAGGAGTCACTAAGAAAATTGGTGACAGCCCAGTATGTTGGCCTCTTCCCACTCATTTGACTCAGTTCACCTGTTCTCTTACACCTGTGAACTAACTAAAATAGAACATCTCAGACCCACAAAGGTGAAGTGTGCTATGTCAATTTGCAAACGTGTTTACCACACCCCAGTTTGAATCTTCTGCTAGAAAAGTTCAGAGTTCCAAAATTTTTTTAGTGTTTGCTTTGTGTCCGGGAGGATAAAAATGTGATAGAGGGATGCGGGGGCGGGGGGGGGGGGCTTTGGTTAACGAGAACTCAGTGGGAGAAAGGTTAAGTAAGTTTTATTTTCTAGGGCTAGAGATATAGGCAAGGCAGTAGCCTTGCGTGCAGATCATCAGGGTTCAATCCCATATGGTCCTTAGAGCACACCAGAAGTGATCCCTGAGCATTGTTAGCTGTGACCCAAAAACTAAAATATATAAAAAAAGTTTTATAGTATAAAATTATGTCACTAAAACTTGGTAGTATAGGAGGATTTTAAGATTTTAGGGAAGTGGTTATTATCACACTGGAGAATTGAAAGGAAACTTCTGTGCATACCACTCTACGTGTGTGTGTGTGTGTGTGTGTGTGTGTGTGTGTGTGTGTGTATTGAAAAGCAACTTAGCAAAGTTCAGTTCTGACCTTCAGATGATTCTTAATTTTGTATCAACTTAACACCTCTTCCCTCCTTGATCTTATAGTCTCAAAGTTTATTTTTTGCACTATTCATCTATAGCTTTTTCCACATGAATAAAACTATGGTTAGTGGGTTTTTAAATTTTTTTTTTCTCTTTTTGGGTCACACCTGGCAATGCACAGGGGTTAGTCCTGGCTCATGCGCTCAGGAATTACTTCTGGCAGTGCTTGAGGGACCATATGGGATGCTGGGAATCGAACCCGGGTCGGCCAAGTGCAAAGCAAATGCCCCACCCGCTGTGCTATTGTTCCAGCCCAGTTAGTGTTTCTCTGACTTTCTGCTGAGCACAATAGCCTCTAGTTTCATCGAAGTCACAAATGACAGGATTTTGTCTATAGCTGAATTGTATTGCGGCGTGAGCATATCATGACCTCCCAGCCATCACAAGTAATGCAGTAGACATGGGAGTGCATGTATCTTTTTGAGATAGTGTTTTGTTCGTCAGATCAATACTCAGAAATAGGATAACTGAATTTACTTGAATTCCTATTTCCAAGTTTTTGGGAGATTCTCCATACTTCCTATCGTAGCCGCCCCAATTTATATTCCAATAGTACCCAGTGCTTCCTCTTTGCCACATTCTCTCCAACAGTTGTTTCTTGTTTTTCAGATAATGGCTGTTTGTACAACTTGCGAGATTTCTTGTCTTGAGTTTCTAATAAGTTGATGAACATTTTTGTATGTGTCTGTTAGTCACTTGTATGTATTTGGACAGGTGTTCAATTCCTGTGCCCGTTTTAAAATTAGGTGGCTTGATTTTTTTTTTTTTATTTATTTATTGAATCACCGTGGGAAAGGTTACAAAGCTTTCAGGTTTATGTCTCAGTCATGCAAATATCAAACACATTTCCCTTTACCAATACTTATTTTTTCCCATGAAGAACCCCAATAAAACCCCACCCCCCACCCCTCCCCGTCCCTGTGAGGCAGATGAATTCTAGTTAACACTCTATCCGCTTTGATTAGATTGTTTCAATAAAAGATTCACCACTATTATTTAGAGTTTACCCCCCCCCCCCCCCCAAATCAGACATGCTGAAAAAGCATTGTGAAGTGATTTGCTTTCTACAGCTGGGTTCAAGAATTAAATGTTGGTTTTGGATTTCTGCTATTTTACCTATTGACCCTGGAAGTATTTCTACTGAAAGTCAGATAGT